GAAATGTGGAAGAGCATTCCAAGTAGAAAGAATAGTATATGCAAAGGAACCTGGGTATTATTGGGTAGGGCCGGAGGTTTTTAACTTGGGGTGCGTGCATCTCAGGTAAACTTCAGGAGGCCTATGAACTTCCCAAAATTGCATGCAAAATGTGGCTTGCATACACTCAGTACAATGTTTGGTGAAGGAGATGCTCTGTGGCTTTCATGAAATACATAAAGAGGTTTGTGTTCTCCCTAAAAAGGTTGTGAACCAATGTTGTTGTCAACAAAGTGTCATGTGAATGGATTCTAAATAGGAGAGTAATTTGGTAAAATTTGTGTTTTAGAAACATCAAATTAGCAGTCAGTATGAAAATTGGGTTGTATGCATGGAGACCAGCTGGAAGACCTAAACTGGGGTATTGGCAGAGAAGAAATGGATTTGAGCAGGGCTACTGTGTTGCACGACTCTAGTGGGCACCATTTGTATAGAAGCATTTTAATTCCAAATTATGGAATTCAAATCCTTTGAGAGTTATTAATGAGATGGGCTCAGTAGAAATGTCAAGTGGGATAAATTGTTGTGGATGTAGAGGTAGGAGACAGGAAGGAGACAGGGATGAGTCAAGGTTAGCAGAAGGCCAGAGGGACATGAGTCCTGGCCAGGTCACAGAGTAAGAGCAAAAGGGAACCTCTGTTAATGCTCACCCAAATCCCATCCTACTCCTGGTTCTCTGAGATCCTGAGTAACATTGAAGACACTTATTCCCTGTGGATTTTGGAAAGGAATTATTTCTGGTTTGCGAATCAGCTTAAGTTTCCTAAAGAAAGTACTGTTTGAGTTAGTCATTCAAGGTCCATGTGATTTCAAGAACTAGTATGCACTGAGAGTATGCACAAAGGCCTGGAGGTGAGGAAGGGTGAAACCAGACAATGGTGGATACAGAGGTTAGGCATGCCTCAGACAGCTGTCTGGGGAGTTCAGGCTTTTTATTTTTGCCTTTTGTTAGGAAGTTAGAGAGTCATGAGCATTTCTTGAGCAGGAAAAGTGACATGATCAAATTGGCATTTTAGAAGGAAGGGACACTAGGGAGGAGGCTGTTGGAGTAATCCAAGAGAGAGAGAAGCTAAGGTGGTGGCAGTGGGTATGGGTATAGAACAGAGGAGATAAATTTGAGTTGTCATTGGGAGGAAGAGATGGCTGGAGTCAGAGACTGAAGAGATGATGGGAAAGGAGGGAAGAGGTGGAGACGACTGAGGCTGGAGTTCACAGAATGTTGGAGTGTTCAGGCCTGACACTGGATTCATTCATTCAATGAATATTTATCAAGTGTTAGGCACTAGGGCTATGGCACTGAACAAAAACAATTGCTGTCCTGATGGATCTACAGTAGGTGAGACAGACAATAAACAACAAAACGTATAGGATGTGTCTGATGTCGATAGGTGCTGTGAAGAAATATAAAGCTGGGGTAAGAGGGTAGAAAATGTTGGGGTGCCTTTTGAGAGAGAGAGGGCTTCTCTGATGAGGTAGTATTTGAGCAGAGACTCGGAGGAGGTAAAGGAGTGAGCTGTGTATCTGTCTGGGGAACTATGTTCCAGGTAAAAGGAACATCGAATGCAAAGGCCCTGAGGCAAGAGTGTGCTTGGTGTGTTTGAGGAGCAGCAGGGAGACCAGTGTGATTGGAGAAAGGCTAAACAAGGGACAAGAGGAGTAGAAGATGAGGTAGCAGGGGCCAGATCATGTACAGTCTTTTAGAGCTATTTAGGAGATAGAATCAGTAGTATTTGGTGACTGTCTCGTTAAGGGAGCAGAAAAAAAATCTAGCATAACTCCTAGGTGTGTTTTGGGCTTGGATGACGGGGTGAACGGTGGTGCCTCTCACTAAGGTGGAAAATGTGGGACAGTTTGCAGCGGTGAGAGACCAAAGGGTCCTTCTGGTGGAGCTGTCCAGCAAGCATTAGGCTTGGTGGATCCGGGCCCCAGGAGAGATACATGCTAGGGAGAGCCACACTTAAAGTTATGAAATGGAATGGGGTCGCTGAAAGAGAGTGTGGAATGAAAAAGAAGAGGACCAGAGCAGACCTGGGAAGGCGAAACCAACACATAAGGCATAGGCAGAGGAAGAAATGGTGTGGGGTCAGAGAAGTAGGACGAAAACCAATGGGGAGTGGGCTCACAGAAGCAGAGGAAGGAAAGGGCCATGCAGAGCAGGGCCTTGTTAGGAGTGTCAGGTGCTGCAGCTGGGGGGAGTATGCTAAGGGCGGAAAAGAGTTTATTGGCTTTAACCACCAGGAGGGCCTGGGCGACCTTCTTCAAAACAGCTTCCCTGGAGTGGTGGGCGCATGAGGCAGATTGCAGTGGGTCGAAGAGCTCGTGGGAGGTACCGAAGCAAAGCGGAGATGGCCAGTGTAGACGAGTTTCTCAAGAGGCTTAGCTGTGAAGAGGAGAGAGGGACAGAGGGGGATGTGGGGGCAGATAGAGGGTTTTTATTCCCAGATGGGAGAAACTTGAGCTTCTATAAATGTTGATAGGAAGGAGGCAACAGAGGGGGAGAGGTTGAAAATACAGGAGGGAGAGGGGATGATTGTTGTGGAGGAGGTAGCAGGGATGGGCTCTGGAGCCCAGGTGGAGAGACTGGTCTTAAATGGTATAGGGGCCCCTTTTTCTTACCAGGGAAGAAAAGTAGTGGTGCTGGTGGGAATGCAAGGGTGTTAAGGGGATTGGTTAAAGAAATGCTCCAGGAAAGTTCAAAGCAACAAATGGAGAGCCCTGACCAAAGGCATGGATGCTGGGGCTGGGAGAAATCAAAGAATACTTCTGGCTGGGAATCAGGGAGGAAGCAGCATTTGAGCTGGGTGATGAAATTCAGACAGGATTTCAGTAGGCAAAGATCTGTGCAGAAAGAAGAATATTCTAAATGGAAGAAAGAGGGTCAGCAAAGACAGAGGTGTGAAAAGGCTAGTGTACTGATGGAATAACAAACAAGCTAGTTTGGCGAAGGCTGGGCATGAGTGAATAGGATAACATTGATGCCACTGTTAATAGCAGTCATAATAGTTACCATGTATTGAGCATCAGACCTACCTGTGGCAGGTACTGTACATACTTGAATTCATTTGATCCCACCACACCCTACAGAATAGGAATTTCTTCAGTTTGCAGATAAGGAAAATGAGTCCCAGAATGGTGAAGAATGGACCCAAGGTCACCCAGCTAGTAAGTGATGGGGCTGGTATTGAAACCCAGGTCTATCTGCCTCCATAGCCTGTGCTTTTCCCACATGACAGGGAAGGGCAGTAGAGGCCATATGATGGGGGAAACCTCGAATGCCAACTTAAGGAGCCTGAACCTTATCCAGGAGGCAATGGGGAGCCAAGAGAAGAGAATCATGCTTGAAGGTGGGCTTTAGGAAGGCTAATGTGATCCAAGCAGAGAGAGAGAAGAAATCAGGTGACTGGGGGAAAGGTAGCAGTGGCCTGGCCTGGATAAGAGGGGAATGAACAGTGCTACTTGAATATCATTTGTTCCACATGACAGCCTTGAGAGGTGTGGATTTGTCTTCTCGTTTTATAGATGAGGAATGGGAGACTCAGAAAGGCAGGGCTACTTGCCCAAGACTTGAGCTCTGGTTCATGTGGTTTTGCTGACTCAGTGAGTCTGTGGAACAATGTGTCAGGGGAAGCTCTGAGTCTGGGAAAGTGGTGTGTGTGCGTGTGTGTGTGCGCGCGCGCGCGTGCTTGTCTGTCTGTCAGATGGACAACAGTGCTTTCCCTTCCCTTGCCTGTCTGCTTTTCTTTCCATCTCTTCCCAATCCTCCAGTTTCCTGGATTCCATAGCTCCTGCATCCTTTGAGCCAAGGGGTCTGGGATTGGGGATGATACTGCTTCCTTGGCTGCCCCCAGAAGATCGGTCTTTTTTCTCCCAAGGCATCTTGTCCCCTCCCAACCCTACTGTCTTTCCATCTACCCCATGAAACTGTAGCCCTGATCCATTGACTGCCACATGCAGTCTGGCCCCTGGTACTACTCAGCAGTGCCCTAGAAGTAGAGCTTGTTGCTGCAGTGACTCCCCCCTATGCCCCCACCCCTGCTGTGGCTGCTTCTGTGTGGACAGACGGCCACCTTGGGAATTAAATTTGGTTCACAAGCGGTTAACAACAGTCACCACCAAGTTCCTACTGCTATTGTTTGCCAGGTACTTGGTGCATGTTCTAGTCCTTGCAACAGTCCTGAGGAGTTGGCATCATGAGTCCCATTTTTACAGATGAGGAAACAGGCTCCGAGAGGGCCAATGGCATGCTTGGGGGCACATCATCTAGAAGCATTTGCAGAGTCAGCATTTGAACCCAGTTCTGTTTGCTTCCAAAGCTGTAGGCTTTCCATACTCCATTTCTAAGCACTTCTATTTTCCTGACCCTGAGCCTTCAGAAAATACAAATCTTTGTCCTTCAAGGGCAGAGTGTATTTCTAGAGATGGTGCCAAGTTCACCCAAAAGACCTGGTGGGATGGGTCTGAGGCTTGGAGCTTCAAGAACTCTGGGTTCAAATCCTAACTTTATCACTTGCCCAGCTATGTGACCTTAAGGAGATTATCCAGCCCCTCTGAGCTTTAATTCCCACATCTGGAAAATGCTACCTTGAAGATTTGTTGCTGGGGTTAAATGAGTTGATGTATGCAAAGTGAGAGCGGGTTGCTATTATTTATATTAAAATGAAGGTTGAGCACCTGCCAGGATTAGAAAGGGAGTTTCTATACTCTGGGGTTGACTTTAAGATTGAGCCCAGGCTGGGTGTGGGAGGGCTGTCTTAGGAGGGGACCAGCAACAGGCTCTTTGGAGACAGAGTTGGATGTGACCCCGGATCATCCATCACCCTGGCCGCCCCATTCCAACCCCCATTCTAGCCCCACCTTCTGGTTCCAGCCCTCGGTGTATCTCCCTTGCTCTGCAAACTAATGCCTCTGCCTCTCTCTGTCACCCGTGCCTGTGGCCTCTACCCTGCCCTTCCTGGCCCCAGGGAAGAGGAGGAGGAGGAGGAGACTGAGGAAGAGGAAGAGGAAGACGCTCACCAGTTCTGCTGTCCGGCCTCCGAGTGCAGCAGTCCCTCCTCTCGGTAACTGAGAGGACAAGGGCCATTTTCTATGCAGAAGCAAAAGCCTTAACCAGCCCATCCCCCCAGCCCTCGCGGATCCCTGTCCCCTGCTTCAGGAACCAGACGGGCAAGCATCGCGCCCCTTCCTCCCCCACCTCCTTCTCGGAATTTCTACCCCCTGCTGCTGTCTCCCCTGGACTCCAGCTCCTGATTTAAAAACAGCTGGAGCCCTAAATCTGAATAAAATGTGGGAGAAGCAGAGCTTGGAGCTTGGAGCTTGGAACCTGGACCCTCCCGCACCCGCACTCCCACTTCCCAGGCACCCTGGAGCCTGCCATTCCTGGAGAGGTCTCCAAATGACACCCCAAGGACCTACCTCTGTCCTCTGTGAGCACAAACAGAGATGCAGGGTGCCTAGGGCTCAGAGGACCAGACGGGGACAGGACCCAGCCTGCCTAGTTCCCCGTCGTTCGTTCCCTTGCTGTGGCCATAGCTGCCATCTCCTCCACTGCTTGAAGGCCTCAACCCACACCCCCTACCACTCCCATAGTGCTCTGTAAATATGAACAGGAGGAAAAAGCCTCTCAGAGTACATGTTGCTGTGAACAAAGGAATTTCCATCAATAAAAGCTGATCTCTTCTCTCTGTCTGATGTATATTCCACCTACCCCCACTTCTCTCTCCCCATTCCCACCAGGGCCTTGCCTTCTTTCATATCCAGAGCTGGGAATGGGAGGGCTAGGAAATAGAGTAGGGTTTGATTCATGGTATTGTTAACACTCGAGACAATAAATGTGTGAACGGCTCCCAACATGGGCAGGCTAACCTTGGACATGTCTCTTGGCTTCTCAGACACATAGTTTCCCCAGCTGTAAAAAGAAGAGAGAAGTTGGACTAGAGGGTCTCCAAGGGTTCTCCAGCTCTGACATTCTGTGAATCTGAGATACTACACTTTTAAGACACCATGATTATGTGAATTTAGGATATAATGATTCAGTGACACATTCCATGCAATTCTGTGTTTTCTACTTCTATAGTGCTGTGATTTTTGGATTCACTAGTAGTTTTAAGATTTCATGATTCTACCATATAAACAAATTCTGATGATGTAATTTTAATATTCTGCAGTGTAAAGATTCCTTGATCCTGTACTTTTAAGGTTCTGGTTCTAAAATTTTAGGGATCTCTGAATCTGAGAAAAAGCCATTTCCCCCAGATGCAACGACCCCAATATTTCCTTCATCTAGCCAGAACCTGCCTCTAAGACTCTGAGGCTGTCAGCAGGAGGGTGAAAGGTATCCTTTATGGGTTTGTAGGACCTATACCTTCCATGATGTGTCTGTGTTAGGAGTACATTCAGGAGACCCCAAAGTGGGCTCATATCCCACTTTCCCTCTCTGAGCCTTTAGCATTAGACCAGTGTGAGTTTACCTTCCTGTTCTGCCACTTATAATCTGTGTAACCTTGAGAGAGTCTTTTCTTCTCCTTGAACTTTCTTTTCCTCCTGAGTACAGTAAGAATATATCTACTTCTCTGGGTTGTCATGAAGATTAGCAAGAAAGAATGCAACGAACCCAGTGTAGGGGCTGGTGCAGTTGGGCAAGTGTACCTTGCTTGGTGGCTCTTGTTTTGATTAAGGTCCAGGTGAGACTTTCTCCTCTCCTTTCTTTCCTCCCTCCCTTCAGCATCCCCATCACACTCAATCTGTAGTTTTTCCAGCACCTCACTTCCTTCCCTCAGTCACTCATCTGTTCATTCAAAGTTTCATTTATTCCCCCCTCCTCCCTCCTTCCTCTCTCCCTTATTCTTCCTTATTCTACTTAACAGAACATTGGTTGAGCACCTACTGGGTGCAAGATCTCAAGCTAAATACTGTGAGGAATCAAAATAAGGCAGTGGGTGTGTCTTCCATAAAGTCTCCATCTCCCAGAGGAGATGAGAGATCCTTTGGGAAAGTAGGTAGGGTGCAAAGGGCAAAAGTGATCGAGCAGGCTGGGCACGGTGGCTCAAGGCACCTCCTTTGGGTGGCCGAGAAGAGAGGATTGCCTGAGCTCAGGGGTTTGAGACCAGCCTGGGCAACTTGGTGAGACCTCATCTCTACAATAAAAAAAGAAAAAAAGCCGGGGAATGATAGCATACGCCTATAGTTCCAGCTACTCGGAAGGCTGGGCGGAAGGATCGCCGGAGCCCAGCAGGTCGAGGCTGTGGTGGCCGGGAGAGGCCACTGCACTCCAGTCTGGGTGACAGAGTGAGACTCCAACTCAAAAAAAAAAAAGCGATTAAGCAGAAATGGCTTCAGTAATGAGCAAAATGTGTTCCTGGCCCAAAGTGGAGGGAGATGTTAAGGTGGGCTGGGAGGGGTGGTGTCCAGGAGGCTTTGCTGGAGGAATAGAGGCAAGAGTTCGTCCTTGAAGGCAGGAAGTAATTTGAATAGGTGGCAAGGGTTGAGAAGACATTAAAGGAAACAGGGACCACATGGACAAAATCCTGGTGGAGGGCTCCAGGGTTATACTGGAGGAATGGTGGGTGGATTAATCTGTTCGGCTGACTCTCCAGGATGTGTGAATCTAAGTGACCTGGGGCTTAGGAGGAAGACACCATTCTCCTCTTTCTTTAAGTGGAGATAGAAGGAAATTGTGGGGGTAGGTGTTCAACTACATGGAGGGAGAAGGCAGGTCAAGGTTAGATAGCCATCCAGGGAGCCGTAGGGGTGTAAACTCCTATGTAGGCAACTGAGTTGACTGAATTGGGCAGAGGGCCTGTGCTGTCAGAAGGGGGTGGGTGGGTTTTATCAGTCGTGAGAGAAATTTGCATGCATGTATGGTTTCCATGCACATGGGCATCCATGTGCATGTCTTTGCATGAGGCTGCTCAAGTCTCACAGTGGTAAGAGACCATGGGCACTATTACAGATCTGAGAGAACGTTATTATGTGAGACTCGGTGTGAGGAATCCTGAGTGTGTGAGGTTGACTGGGAAGTGGTGACTTTCTGTGCCAGACAGGCTCTGTGCATGCGTGTGATGGATGTAATCATAAGACTGGGTGTGGGTGGCTTTTAAGCATGTGGGGCTGTGGCCTTTAGGGTGACAGTTGCCAGCCAGGATGGTCACACACACAAACACTTGTGGCTTCTACCTACGGTCTTAGGAGACCAAGGTGGCTGCTGAGCAATTGATATATGCTGAGCCCTGGCATGGGAATTGTTGAGCCACAAAGGTGAATCAGATCAGGCCACTGCCCTTAGGGGTGGGGTGGGAGATGGACACTTCAAGAGATTACTACAAGTTAGTCAGTGATAAGGACTGACCATGATATGGGTGTGCACAAGACACAGAGGAAGGAGTAACTGACCCTATCAGGTTCTATAAGGGGCAGGAGTGAATCAGAACTGACCTCCCAGGAGGACGCACCTGCTCAGGGTACTGCAAGATGAAGATGGGTACACTCAGACCGATAAAGTCTGAGTGGAAAGGGGAGAGAGGACATTCTGGGCAGAGGAAACAAAGGAAGAGTATGAGCACAGGCCTGGAGATGTGGATCAGCTTGCCATAGTCTAGGAATTGCAAGTAGCATGTTGTTGCCTATGATATTTAGGAGCTTATGGAGGAGGGAGGGATGGCCGGATTCAGAGGGACTTCTGAAGCTGAAAGTGGGACACTGGCCTAGAAGCAGGGGATTCTTAGCCTGTGTAACCCCGGGCAAGTCACTTTGACTCTCTGGGCCTCAAGCTGGATCTATGGGATGGGATGGGTCATAAAGCCTAAGTTGTCAAGTTTATCCTAGCTCTGTGGATCTTCTACCCTGGCCAGCCATGTCCACGAGGCATTACTCTCGAAGTCAAGAGCTTCTTCCATCTAATCTCAGTCTTTCCTTTTTCCTCCTGGATTGCTTCCTCACCCGCCTAGCCCACAAATATTTATTCAGCTTCTGGCTCTTTGCATGCCACTGTGGGAAGGTATGGGGAGATGAAGAACCCAAAGGAAGAGGAAGAATGCAAGGACTCTACCTTGGAGGAGGTGGTGGTGATAAAAGCATGAGTTTTGTGTTTAGATATAATTTTGTTTGAATTTTGGCTCCACCACTGCTGAGCTTTGAGACTTTGGGCATGTTATTTCACTTCTCTGTACCTCAGTTTCATCATCTGTGTTATCTCCTGGAGGGATAACAACCCAGAACCAAAAAAGTAGGTACTCAATAAGTAACAACTATTTTTTTTAGGGCTGCAAGAAGCAGAGCCAGGATTCAAATCCAGGTCTGTGCATTTCCAAAGCTTGTGTTTGCCCACTGTATACCCAGTCAACTAAGCTCTTTTAATGGCCTCCTTCTCCCGCAGCAACTCCTGTGCCAAGCCAGGCTGGGCTCAGGCTTAGAATCCCTGTGGCACTGGGACTGGGCAGCAGAAATAGCTTACAGCAAAAATGTCAGAGGGAGATGTGGCTGCAGTTGCCCTAGCCCCCGTCTCCTTGCCCAGTCTGCTCCTTTCCGAGCCCAAAGACCCTGGCCCAACCTAGGTACACTCACCTCCTCATCTTGTTTTCTTATCTCTCACTTCCGGTCCCCCCCTTCCAGCCTAAGTTGTCATGGGGATAGTCCTCGGCATCCCTAGCTTCCTCTTGCCCTCATCTTATGGTATCCATGGCAACAGCCCCCATTCATTTCCATGGCAACTGCATCCTGATCCCATCTCCTGCTGGTTGTCTGGCTCCAGGCAGTGCCAATAAAGGGAAGGAGAGAGCGAAGACCTCCCATTAGGAGCAGCATTCGGGGAGGGTCAGAGCCCCTGCCATGGACAGGCCAAATCCCTATGGAACATCCTGCACCACTTCTCCCCATCTTAGTGCCTTGGCTCACAAGGTTCCCTCTCTCCTCTTTTCTACCAGTTCCTCCTAGGCAGGACCCAGTCCACAAGTTTTCTCCCCCAGGAAGCCTTCCAGGCAACAGAGGAACTAGCACAGTCTTTGGGGTTGGAATTTTTGTTCTGCCACTTGCTAGCTCTGAGACCTTTAGCAGGCACTTTCCCTCTTGGAGCCTTTTCTTCATCTGTAAAATAGGAATTCTAGTTCTTCCCTCATGTTTGCCATGCAGATTAAATAATGTGTGGAAAATGCCTGACACAGGGAAGGTGCGCAGTAAGTGCGAGTTTATTTTTATTCTGCTCAACCACCCCCAAACAGAAGGGATCTCTCTCCCGCGCTCCCCCAGCACTTCCTCTGTTCCCCAGCCTTGATAACTTTCTGCTTTGTACTGTGGTTATTTGCATAACATAGCTTATTTCCCCCTTTGCAGAGGACAGCTCTCTGATTTCCCCCCACAGAATAGCCCAGTAAACAGGGCACACGAGTGTATGTCTGCAGGTGTTCATGTCTATTTTCATGTGTTTGTGGATGTGTGTTTTTGTTTCTTGGCCTGTAAACCTTTGGGTGTCTCACTGTTTTTGTACCTGTGCATATGTGTGCATGTATGTGCACATGTGTGTGCTTCACTCCTGTCCAGGAAGAGTCCAGAGGGAAAGAGTTCTCCTAGGCCCTTTCTGAAGTTCTGGAATCCAAAGAGGGGATTGGCCTTGCTTGAGCTGTGCACAGATGAAAAACTGAGGTGCAGAGAGGGAAAGTGACATGCCCAGGCTGTCATTGCTGGTAAATGG